AATGATAATGATAACGATGATGATGATGAATATTGTTGTCGTTGTCACCTTTATTATAACCCCAATCTGTATCAGTGTAACAGTCTTGTTGCCTTTAGTATTGTTGTCATGACCGTTCGCATTATGACCGGCCGGATTAGCATTAGCGTTGTGGTCTCCTGGTGGATTTCGTGGATTTCAGGTGTGATTAATCTAGCTTGTCCGAGTTTGATTTCATGAATTGTACTTTGGTGCTTGTACATGTACACGATTGTGAGCGTTCGTTTGTTCCAGTGTGTGCGGGGGTGTCTGTAGGTGCATGTGTGTAGTAAGCACCTGTGACGATGTGATGTCCTTCAAATGTAGGCCAAATGCTGAGTAGATAGGCATACAGGCTGGCGTCCCGCCCCTTTGATGATTCAGTCACAGCTTGTATTTCAGGAAGCTTCAGAAAGCCACATTCAGAAGTGAGACGTATCGCTCTCTTGCATCATTGTCGACTGGTAAAAGGGATTCATTTTAATCCCTTTGTGCCTGAGATTACACGCTTGCTGCTCATAGGGAGCCTGTCGAAGAGGGCGGCCTTTTGCCTGATAATATATGCTGTTAAGATTTGCTATTACTTTTTATCCGAGTTACAAGCGGAACATAATGATAGCGGAGAAGCAGATTTATTATATAACCTAAGCCTAAAATACTGTCTTCTTGAGCTGCGTTGCATTCGCCATGCGCTAAGTTGCTTGACATGGGTCATGAGGCTTCCCATGGCGTCACTCCTGCCTCCTCCTCCTCCTCCTCCTCCTCGGGCCCACCCTTCCTCGTCCCAAAGTAAGGACAAAGCCGACGTCCCACAAGTGCTTCTGTTGGGATACGTCACTCCCCCCCCCCCTCCTCCGCGTCCCGCCTCAAACATGTTGAGCAGTTGCAGGGTTTTACCACGGGGGAGGGCCCCAAGGGGTGAAGTCGAGGTGGCAGGGGCTCGCGTCCCTCAGCATCATTCTTGAGGTAGCAGCGGCTGGCGCCAGTAACGCCGTGTCTTTTCTTTCCACCTCCTACCTCTCTCTACCTGCCTCTTCCTTCCGTCTCCTCTTCTTGTCCCTCTGTCCGTCCTCCCTCTTCGTCATTCAAGCTCTGTTTCCTAAGTGCGTGCCCGTCCTTTGTCTCTTGCTTGCACGCACGTGTAATCATGTATCTTTGTGCATAAGATTTGTGCGTGTTGTGCATGCGAGAGACCCGCCCGGGAAAAGGACCGCCGCGCGCTTCTGCACTCTGCTTGTCTGACTGAGCGCTGAACGGAGAGAGAAGACTGGAAGGAAGATCTTGCTCTGGAAGATTTCGTGATTGCTAAAGAGGAAATTCTAAGCTGAAAGTGTGCTGGTCCTTCGCCGTTTCTGATTGGCTCCTCGGCAGAGATTGTGTTTGAGGAGGTGAGTGGCGGCGGTGGTGCCCCGTGCGTGGTCGGTGCGTGTTTTCAGTGTGCGTCGTGAGGACGATAGTGCAAAGGGAAACGAATTGAAAGTGTGTGCATGTGACATTGTGTGAATGAGTGAGTGAGTGTGTGTGTATGTATGTATGTATTTATGCATGCATATATGTGTGTGTGTGTGTGTGTGTGTGTGTGTGTGTGTGTGTGTGTGTGTGTGTGTGTGTGTGTGTGTGTGTGTGTGTGTGTGTGTGTGTGTATTTTTGTGTGTGCATGATTATATGTGTGCGTTTCTGTATGTTTGTATACTTAGCTTAAGGGTAAATAGATATCGGTGATAGAAAGTTTAGTTTAGTTGTTGGTAATAATTTTGAAATAATAAGTGATGAAGTGTATGTTGTAAAGCTCTATACGGATAGCGATTTATTGTTGTTAGTGGTAGGTCTTTCGTAGTTTGGGAAAATAAATTTGAAGAAAATAGATATTTTACATATATTAAACAGAAACGATCTCCAGAAATGTAGCCTCTCTTACCGAGTGAAGCCTTTCAAGGTGTGAATGTGTATATTTGTGTCCGTGTGTTGCATGCTTGTGAACAGTGTTTTGTGTTTATATTTACGTGAATGTTTGTATATCGATGTATTTTTATGAGGCGATAGGCAGCAGCATTCAGAATTTAACTCCCCAAGTCCGTAGTCCGTCAATGCCGCCCAAATTTAGCGAAGCCTTTTCAAGACAGCTTGTCCCAATTTAAGTGGAGCGTCTTCCTATTCCTCTTCGTGCTCTGTTCCCTTTTTGCGTTCCGTAAAGATCTGTCTGCGGTGACGGTAAGTGAAATTGGTGATGATGCGTGGAGGCGCGTGGGGCAGAGGATGAGCGGGAGATGAACGAGAGTGGCGGACGGATGATAGAAGTGGCTGTCTCCCTGCGAGCGAGGGTACGGAGGAATTTCTTTCACTCCGACAGGATGGACGTGTTGCGATAGTGAGTCACCACCACGAGGGCACTTCTGGGTCGCGCCAGTTGATTTTTTTTTGCCTTTCTTCGACAATGACACTTCCCTTTTTGATACTGTTGTCCTGAGCGATTATGAATGATAGAATTTGTTTAGATATTTTTTTTTTTTTTCGTAATGTCTTTAGTTTCTAGCTTTGAAAGTAGACAGCGAAGTCTTTCCTAATATTTATTTTTATCCTTCGCACAGATTAGCATCAAACGGCAGCCAGCCATGATATGCATGCAGTAATTATATGCATGCGCTGTCAACAGCACGGATTCTACAAGTTCCATTTTTTCTGATTGGTCGATATTAATTGCATGGACAATAATGCCATCACTGAAGTGACGCTCTAGGAAGTCAGGGCTTTCTCAGTTCGGTGTTACGACGTCTGTCGGGCTGATAAATATCCATATTACTTTAGGGAAAGACATTTCATCTGAAGCACGGTGGTTTTGCTGTTGATCTCGATTAGTGCTACAGAAATGATGCCCTGAAATTAAGCATCGGTGACCTTATCTTCGCCATGAACGAATTAAGTGTCGGCAACATCCGGGAGGCTACGGCCTCTCGGCCTACTCCTCCCTCCTCGCTGGCTGTGGTTCCCTCCCATTTGGTGTCGGATTCGCCCTCCAGCGAAGACTCGCCGGAGAGTGACGCCTCGTCTCTCTCCCCGATGGAATGGCTCTCGCCCTTGGAGTCGCCTTGTGACCTGTCAGTCATATCCAGCAGTCACAGCCTCACCTCACCGGGTTCATGCATCGAGATTCCCATTCCTGGGTTGACTACACCTTTGGTCTCTCCCAGTGTACCGTCGTCATTCCATAGCACGACTTCGCCTTCGACTACAGTGTCCCCATCAGGAACTGCCCGACCAGTGCACTGCACTAGGTCATCCCCAAATCCCAAGGTACCAGCTACAAGCTCTGGTTCATCAGACAGTGACTCGGGATCAGGATGGAGCACGCCCTCTCCTGTCCGGAGTGTGGTTTCCAATCCGAGTGTCCCCTGCTCCTCTCAGAGCTCTCCTGTCTGGTCTTCCTCATCTCTCACCTCCTCGACTTCTTCTTCCTTATCTCCACCCTCTGATGTTAAAAGGTACTTGGTTGCAACAGCAAATGGAAGGCGCAGTAGCACTACAGACCTTGCCCAGACCAGAGCAACTCGCAAAAATCTATGGGAAAATATCCGGGCCAACCCCAAGCTGAATAATAGCAAGTGCAGCTCTCATTGTCGTCACGGGAAGCGTTCTCCCACCACTGATGATGATGATGATAGTGATTTCAGCTACACCTACCCTGCCAGTCCTTCATCTCGCAACTCGCCACTCTATAGATGTCCTGTATCATCAGGTCCTCTTCTTTATGGGCCTGCCAGCCCAATTTCTCAGGGACCTCCATATCAAAGAGACAGAGGTTCACGCTCTCCGAGTCCTATGCCTCGATCCAGAAAGAGATCCTCTCGGTGTCCTGTCAGTCCATCACACTCCCCAGGAAGTCCTTTAGGTTGTTCAGCTGTTGGTCCAGGGGAAGGACTTGAAGGTGCATCATCACACTTTTGCAAAACCCCAGTTTCAGCTTCACCAAGCCCTGTTGGCCGCTATTCAAAGCCAAAGGATACAGATGCTCTATCTCTGAAAAGTCCAATGAACGAAGTAGCAAAGTCTAGGTGCAATAGCAGTGACACTACCAAAGGGAAACGACGAAGTGTTTCAAGTGTGGTAAGTAATGTCAGCATCAGTAGCAAAGCCTTCCACAAGAAGCAGAATCACGGGGCCTCTGCAAGTCATACAGATGGACACCTAAGTCCCGAAATTGTTATCACTGCAGATAATATAGATATCATCCTTAGTGATGACTATTCCACTATGGATAATATAGAGACTGAACACAACCCATCTATAAAGAAAGGTATTTCTTCTAAGAAACCAACAAGGCATCTCACAGATTTTGCAAACACTTCCCAAAATAACGTCTCCAGGAAATCCCAGTCAAATCTGGAAGGAGAGAAGATCAAGAAACTCGGGGATCGCAAAGAAGACGGGGGAAAGGAGGAGGCTGGCAACGAAACAAGTGATAAGGATGAAAAAATTCCCACAAAAAGCCGAAAGAAGAAAGCAAGGTCCAACAGCCTTGCATATGAACAACTCAGATCATCATTGAAAGAGAATATTTCCAGCTCGGTTCATAACCTCAGTGGCAACCATTCATCTGCATCGAACAGTATCAGTTACAGTATTCCTAATTCCCTCCATACAATTTGCAGTGGAAGTGATAGCAGCCCAAAGCACACTAACAAAAAAAGTAATAGAGCTGTTAGTAGAAGCTCAAGCAGAAATGCTAGCAGGAGTGTTAGCAACAGCCTGTGGGATTTGACTACTAGAAAACCTCTTAGTCATTGTAACACTCCTTCCCCTTCACGTGACAGTACCACAAATGCAGAGAAGTGGCGGCGGGCTAGTTTAGGGACTGTAGGTCTGTCACCGAGGAGCAGATCTTCCACGCCAAAAGACAGAGATGGTAGCAGGCGTAATTCAGTTACTAACACAAATAGTGGTAGTACCTGGAGTCTTTGGGGAGGGGGTGGGAAGAGCAAGAGTATCACCTTTGGCCCCCCACCCCCCATCACTGCCACTGTATCCAGGGCCACCCCCACACTATCCAAAACCAGTGGTGCTGCATCAAAGACTGGACCTTCCATATCAAAGACTCAGGGAGCCATACCCAAAACCAGGAATGCATCATCCAGTATTTCGAAAGTTGGAAAAGTGGTCAGCAATGCCATAAGGGTAGGTAATACACTCAAAAAAGGGCCACAGAGGAGCCCAACTAGCACATCCGCAGAACTTGACTTGCCCAGCGTGTCTCCTGGCCAAAGGCTGAGCAGAAAAGTCGGCAGCAGGAAGAAAGGTGCTGCACTTGATTCAAGAATGAGTCCTGATAATGGTGCTCATATCAGGGATGCTTCAAGATACAGCCCTGTCAGAGACCCTGCCAACTGTTCTCATAGTTCTCGAGGGAGTACGAACAGCCTGTGGGACAGTACCATGGATAACAGTGCTAATGTGTGGGACAGTAACTTTAGCTTAAAGGACAGATTTATGGGCAGCACTATCAGTTTAAAAGACAGTTCTATGGGTAGTTCCATGAGCCTTCATGATAGTGCCATGGGGAGTTCCATAAGTCTAAGAGATAGTATAATGGGTAGCAACAACAGCTTGAGACATTGCTCCATTGGTAGCAGCTCCAGTCTACGTGACAGTGCCCTTGGTAGCTCCACGAGCCTTGTGTATAGCACCTTGGACAGTATTGCCAGCTATAAAGATAGCACAATGGGCAGCTGTACCAGTTTAAGAGATGATTTAAAGGGCAGCAGTGCTAGTCTGATAGATATGCCCATGGCCAGTAGCAAGAGTCTTACTGACAGTGTTTTAGATTTAAGCAAGAAAGATGTATGTAAGACAGCAAACATTAGTGATGATGCCATTGGTAATGGAGGTATGAGTCCTGCGAATATCAAAAGAAATGGTTCAAGGGATAGTACTACAAGTTTAAAAGACAGTATTCTGCGTAGTAGTGCTCATTCATCGAAAAGCATGGGTAGCACTACAAGTCTGAGAGAAAGCACCTTGGCTAATACTTCTAGTGTGAAAGATGTAGGTAGTATCACCAGTCTCAAAGAGAGTGACATGTATTATAGAAAAGATGGTTCCTTTGAGAATGCAATAAAAGATTGCAGAGCTTATAGTCGTGCAAAGAGCATGACAAACCTCAGAGATGATTCACTTTTTAACAATGCAAACTCTGGATGTGTTGGTATGACAGATGCTTATGTTACCAGACAAAAAGATGTTCTCATGGGTAGTGCTACTAACTTGGGAGATAAAGCAGCAAATTACCGTCTTAGACATGGCATATTAGGTAGTGCCACTAATTTGAGAGATAGTGTAATGACCAGTAACCAAAACCTTAGGCATGGTGTGATAGGAAGCACCACCAACCTACGAGAAAAACTTACAAGTAATACTACTCGTCTAAGACATGGTGTTGCAGGAAGCACTACTGATGTCAGGGATAGTTACTTAGGCAGAAACAACAGCATTCGACATAGTAGAAATGGTAGCACTACTAACATCAGAGACAATGCAATGGGCAGCACTGTTAGTCTCAGGCATTGTGCCATCAGTGACCTGATTGATAGTGCTATTGGTCTTGCTACAGATACTATATTTAATACTAACTTGCATGACACTGATGAAAGCAGTAGTTCTGAAGATGAAAATGCAAACAAAATATATGGCTCTTTGACGAATAAGGCTATGGAATTCTTGACTAAAGAGAGAGTAACAGATTTAAGTAAGAGTGCAAATTCTTTGAATGGTACAGCTGCATATGACCTGCTTACTGTGCCACATGGCAAACCTGATTTAATGATGAGCAGATGCAGAAGTGCTCATTCACTGACTGAACCTCAGCAGAGCTATAATGCTGTAGATCACATCTCTAGGACTCAATCATCTGATCTGAGGGACCTTATACGGAAGGACTCCCAGAGACAAAAACTCAAGCGAGGAAAATCCCTAGATCTTAGGGACCTTCCCCAGAGGTCTCACAGCCGTCGAGTACTTAAGAGAGGAAAGTCCTGTGACCTGAGAGATCTTCCATGCACAGAATCTCTTGATACACCTGGTTCATCTGAGATAGAGGACAGCAGAGAGTTTCTTAGAATGAGAACCTGGGAAGATAGGGAGGTACCTAAAGCAAAATCTTGGGATGGAAAAGATGCCTCTCAGCTCCATGAAAGCATGGTAAACTACATAAACCAACTTGAAGGAGACTTACAGAAGTGTTCCAGCATGCAACAATGCAGTAGTCCTACAGTTGAAGTAAATTATGGTTCTGATTGTGGAAGTGACAACCATATGGATAGAGGTTCTGGTGAGGAGGAAAGTGCTGCTGATAACACAAGCAGCCATCATGAGTTCTCTCAGAATGGTGATACCATCCGTTCAGATACTCCTGAGCCAAACCATAGAAGGAGGAGGCGAGGCAGTGCTGACAGACGTAGTGGATCAGGAAGACGCCAAAGCCTTGACAACTTAAATGGCGAGGAGCTATTGTATGCATTAAGAGGGAGGCGAGGAAGTGGAGGCAGCCACTCTCACCTCAGAGGAGGCTGTGCGGCTGGAGGTAACTCTTGGATCTCGGCCATCCCTCGCCATAACAGGAAGTGGGAGAGTCTCCGTCGGGGTGTTGTAGACAAGAGCATTCGCTGCTCCACTCCCAAGCAAGGGCGGAGGGGATCTGTAGAAAACATATGTGGTGGCATGGGTAGGAAAAAGATCAGTAGTCTTTGGGACAATATCCTGGGGCAATATGTGGAAGGAGAGTTAAAAGCCAAAAAAAGTTTAAGTTGCAGTTCCTTTAAAGTTGGAGGAGGTGAAGAAAAAAGTGAATGGGTCACCACCAGAGATGATGTAGATCAAGAGGAAGAGGAAGAGGAAGAGGAAGCAGCAACAACTGGAGTCTTGACTGAATCAGGAGGGAACAGTGAAGTAGTTTGTCCTCAGAGGAGAGCCCCACGCTTCAGTGAGATTTTTGGTGGTGGAAGCATTGAAGAATCCCGCAGAAGTCGCTTGGAAATGACCTATGGATCTCAAGACTTTAAGGACAGTAAGAGGCGCAAGAGATCTAAGGATAAAAAGAGAGGTAAAATGGTTAGTTCTGATAGTGATGGTGACTTCAAATCTGCAAGTGGGCATTCCTTCAGCAGGGAAAGTGGACTGGGAAGCAGCTGTGAGGAGGAAACAGACTACAGCTCTGGCAATGTGACCCCTGAAGGCTCCCCCTCCCATGTAGGCTCCCAGAAGGTTATGGCTGCCATAAGCCATTATTTGCGATCTGTAGATGTGGCAGAAAGTGAAGAGGATGTTGACAGCTTTAGCAAGGAAGCTGATCACATCAGTCCAGGTGACTTGATGCTAATGTCAGATAATGAGGACAATTTCAGCCTTAGCTGGGAGGATCTCATCATATCCTACAAGAGTCTGAAATATAAACCCAATACTAGCAAGATTTCCGAGCTTGAAAATGGTTTTGAAAATCTGCAAATAGACTTAGAAAATAAAGAGGCCAGTGGGGAAGTCGATAACCCTAAATTGGATCAAGAATTGGATAAACTGTTAGGCTGTGACTATCGACAGTTGGAAGGCGAGATTCTTTCTGGCAGAAGTACCCCAGCCCGTGGATCAAAAGAAGTTGTTTTCTCAAGCTCTGCAAAGATCCCATCTCTGAAACCTGCTTCCACAGATGTGAGAAGACCTTGGTCTGCTGAACCTCCACGCAGTGCTGAAAAGAGCCATGTATGCAATGAATCAGTGAATAACCCAGAGAACCATCAGATTGACGATCAAACGACAGATGAGGATTCGAAGAGTGACAGTGTAGTAACATGGTGTTCTCAGGACAAGAATGTGAGTCGCCAGAGTACTATCGTGTGTAATGAGGAATCCGATGAAGTTCCAGATGCAGCTGAGGACACCTCAAAGGTCCCACGTCCTCCAACACCAGATTCAGCCTTGGGATCCGACTGTACGCCTCTTTCGCCTGTCAGCGGGGAAGAAACGACAGTTAACGACGCTACAGAAGAGGAAGAAGACGTCCGAACCCGAGGTCGCGCCAAAGAGCAAGGGCCGCAGCCAGGGCTCGACGGAGCGCGGGACCGAAGTGTGAGCTGCAGCGAAAACATAAAAGCCTTCTTGCTATCCCAGCCTTGCGCCTTCGCCCA